ATTAACACACGGAGACGTAACAATATCATATACAATGAGCCAGACGTAACTGCAAATATCACTAGAATTTCAGATTAATTTTGTCTCCCTTCCTCCAGTTCAGCTAAGACCTTTTTTTGGTTGTAACAATTAAATCTTTTCAGATCTAATTATGATTAACTTTTTGGGAAGAGAAGTTTTTTTTTTCTGCTTGTGGGAAAATTAGCGATAACTTTAAAGATTTTAGTTTTACGTCAAACATTATGAGAGAGATTGCACTCATCTGAAAGGCCACTTCACACTTTATTTATTTAAAACAAGTTGCTACAGGTGGCGCTAGTTATACAACAGTTTCTACAAGCATTCGAAATCTACACGAGTACATGTACCAAAGTTTAGTTCTATCAGGTATGAGAGGGATAATACGAAGAACTTGATTTAATAAATTGTTTCTCATATTAATACTGTTACGAGAATGGCTTCTGAGAAGAAACGCGGGCCAGGAACTCTTGGAAAGTTATACCTGGCCTTGTACAATTTCGTGCAGTTTCTTGGGTATGTATGATTTTGTTTATTTTGCAAGATCTTAAACTAAAACTAAGAGCTAAAATTTATTTTAATTTTAAATATTATAAAGTTAATGCTACTGCGAGTGCTAGATTTCAGTTGTGATGTATGAACGTCAGACGTGGTTTGGATAGCACATGGGGCGGTACTGGTAGGCTTTACAACTTGCGAGATGACTAGGGGAATATGATTGAGGAGTACGACTGGTGCTAGTACTAGTAAATAAGTTTGTACAAAAATGAATTTGTTGGATAGATCGTAGTAACAGTATCTCTTATTTCATCACATATAGTTTTACAGTACTATTGGCAATTATTACTGGTGACTGGTGTTTAACTTTAAATCAAAATAATGCATTCTTTGAAAAACTGAGTATAGTTTGTGTGCTTTTAAATTTTAAATTTTTTACTTGATCTACTCTTTTGCCTAACGAAACACTTGAAACGAATGCTTGGTAATTTAATGTCATACAAAATACATTCTTAACCTTAGTTTAAATATTATTATTATTATTTTTTTCTTTTAACCTGCCTTTAACATTTTTTTTTCTTGTATCTATGATCCAGAGTTTGAAGTTGAACTCTTAAACCTAAGTACTGATATTTGTTTACAAACCATTCCCAAATGATGAACGATGATAAAGAGTTCCCATCATACAAAAATGAACGAAATATATAAAGGGAAAATGGCAAATTGAAGCCCTCATATCCATAATATTAAAAAGAAAATATTTTAATGTAACTTAAGTATACCTCTATGTACTTCCACAAAAATATAAATAATCACTATAATGATAATTCAAACAAACTGCACATATCACTATAGGGGCTATACACAAATTATAAAATAAATTCACAAAAAGTAGATTAAAAAATATCTCACTAATACCAATTTTGAAAACTCCCCTTTTCATCCATTCTGTGGTACATATATCCAGGTAAAACTGAATTTTAAAAAGGCACGGTAAAAGTAAAAAAAAACTATAAATCAGTTTTTGTATTTTCCATAAATTACAGTTGGGAGAAAACGTATTATGTGAGTTTCAGTGCCATCAGATCACAACTTGCATTCAGTACGTTTTTATTCTGTTTCATACAAATATAGAATTGCAATAATCAATGAGTCTGTTGAGTTAATATTTTTGGAAAATTAAATAATAGCAACTAAACAGTAACACCATGAACTAAACTTGGTCAGACAAAAAAATTAAGCAAATGCTAAAATTAAAAATGTTTAGTGCTTTGAATCACTAATTACATATTTTTTTATTCATCATGTTAACTGATTATTAGGTTTTGTAATGAAAGTAGTTGTGTTATCATTTCAGAAAGATGAACATTTTCCTTGTAGTCTTTTTTGTGTGTGAAGTTTCTGATAAGTTTCCTTATTCATAGTTGGCCTTTAAAATAAATGTAGGTGTTATATACTTGACTGCACAATTTTTCCTGTTGTACAGGTGAAGTAGTATTGGCAGGTGGATTATTTAAGAAATTTTCTTCTTAGTAACTACATATTCAAAATTTTTTTTCCAGAGTATTGGCAGGTGGATTATTTTTAATTTTTTTTTCTTAGTAACTACATATTAAAGATTTTTTTTTTCTGGAGTATTGGCAGGTGGATTATTATTATTATTTTTTTCATAGTAACTACATATTCAAGATTTTTTTCCAGAGTATTGGCAGGTGGATTATTTTTATTTATTTTTCTTAGTAACTACATATTCAAGATTTTTTTTTCTGGAGTATTGGCAGGTGGATTATTTTTTATTTATTTTTTCTTAGTAACTACATATTTAAGATTTTTTTTCTGGAGTATTGGCAGGTGGATTGTTTTATTTTTTTTTCTTAGTAACTACATATTCAAGATTTTTTTTCTGGAGTATTGGCAGGTGGATTATTTTTTATTTATTTTTTCTTAGTAACTACATATTCAAGATTTGTGGGTTACAATCAGGGGTTTCAAGGGTAGTAAGTTTTTAACTTGCAATTGCTATAGGCCACCGGATCAGATAAATAATGTCAATTAGAAATAATATTTTGATATCAGGATTGCTACTAATAAGATTACTAATGCAATTATTGTGAAAGACTTCTTGCCTAAATGTTCCACTACTTAACTCTCTTTAGTTACGTAAAGATTCACCAATCCACTGATACATCATGATGTTTAGTCCCACTACACGTATTATGACTGCTGTTCTAGATTTTACAATACTTGGGCCCATCAGTACCAGTTGCTCCCCCGAGGGATATGTATTTATATACCAACATAACTGTTATGGTCATTTTAGGTCATAATCTCTTGCGGCATGTCTATGGATAAACACGGCCTCATCAAAACAATAGGTATTGAAGCATGGTTCCTGCATGCACCCTAGTGGTGCTGGGTTGTACATTAAAATGTCATTCCTCATGTTTTTTATTTGTTCTCTCAACCTTAGGCAACATTGTTATTGTTCAGAAAAGGTAAACATGCTTATATCTTAAAAGACATATCCGATTCTGTTTTGAAGCCTAATTTTCTAATAAAGAGGGAGATTTTATTTAATGATTTGAAGTCTGTCAAGGTGAGATTAAAAAAAATTGTTGAAAACCATGTTGATTTGCTTATGAATTACTCTCAGAATTTAAAAAAATAATAATTATTATAAGTGTAAAAGTAATCACTAGATAAACACTAAGAAATGTATATTTTAATCAGAATGATTAATATGACTCGTATATTGTGTTCAAATCAACTTGTATTATATATATCGTAGCGGAATAAGGTATCGTTACAGTTGTACAGTTGCTGTGAGTTATAGTAAACCTAAAATGGCATCCTCTGTGAGTGGGTCTATGAATATTTGATATAGAAAATCATCCTTGGGAAATCTGTCTTCCTTACTATTTAACTCCATACAATTCCAATACATATGGCTAAAATAATGATAATTGTATAATTAAGTTTGATGTTGTTCTACAAGTTGGGATAAAAATAAATTGCAATTCTCAATTTTTAGAAAGCCAATTTTGAAACCTTGAGACAATATTTATCATTAGGGAATTGGAAATGATGAGTTTAAAGGTGATGTGGGACAGATACAAAAAATTTATAACAAAAAGAATAACAGTGAAGATAACATATCAGAGATATAACAGAGAAAATTAGGGATAAATGCCACAAGTTCAATAAGTTTAAATTGACAGAACTATAGGAAAACTAGGGAGTTGGTTAGAAAAGAAATTAAGGAAATGCAAAAGAACTTATGAGAAACAGCTGGCTGATAATGTTAAAACTAACAATAAGGTGAGAAACGGCTGGCTGATAATGTTAAAACTAACAATAAGGTTTTTTTTTAAGTATGCCAAATGTAGACAAAATCTTAAAATGGGGATTGGGCCATTAAAGGATGTTGATAGGAATGTTTTTGTTGAAGACTATGAGGTTGCTGAACTTTTAAATGTTCTGTTTTGTTTTTGCAAGAGAATATTCCTTACCTGGATCATTTCCTCAGTGATAAGTAGAAAGATTGAGAGATTAAACATTATACACCAAGCCCAGGATTTTAAAGGTCAAAAAATCAAATATGTGTGCTTCTCTCTTTCATTTGTGGTCAATCAATAGACACTGGGAATGGTGTTGCTTGTGTTATGATGAGCCTTGTAGGTCAGTAGACACTGGGAATGGTGTTGCTTGTGTTATGATGAGCCTTGTAGGTCAGTAGACACTGGGAATGGTGTTGCTTGTGTTATGATGAGCCTTATAGGTCAGTAGACACTGGAAATGGTGTTGTTTGTATTATGATGAGCCCCGTAGGTCAATAGACACTGGGAATGGTGTTGTTTGTGTTATTATGAGTCCCGTAGGTCAGTAGACACTGGAAATGGTGTTGCTTGTGTTATGATGAGCCTTATAGGTCAGTAGACACTGGGAATGGTGTTGCTTGTGTTATAATGAGCCCTGTAGTTATTTTACTCCTTGAACAACCGTCAAATGTAATCTTACAAATCTGTAAAGTTATCCAAGGGTGATAGTATCATCACATCATGAAACAAGTCATTCCTTGTGTTCATCAGGATAAAATATTACTTCATATGTCAATTTTTTAGTACAATAACTAAAACTTCAGACTATGCCAGATGACAGTTTTTGTCCTTGCACTTTCTGATAGTTCTTTTAAAAATTCACATATTAAACCATAAATACTTAGAAAAAGGACTGATTTGACTCAACACAAACAAGTTTTTAGTTATTAACTCAAGATTTTAAAACAAATACTTAAATATAGAAAACAATCACAAAACTGATTCATTATTAGAGATTTATAGACAGCATTTTTAATAATTATTTGATCTAGCATAAATAATTTTCAACATTCAAACAAGAGGGAATCCCTAATAGCCTTGGCACTTGAAATTCTTTTAAGCAGTATTAGAGTAAATTAATCTATGAGACCCTTTTTTTCCCTTTTTATTAGCTATGTTTTTGTGTGCCAGCAATATCAAGCATGGGGTGTGCATGTATCTGATTTAATTTTATTACTCATCAGGATCTCTGCCAGCCTACCCTCAATTTGAAATTCTTTTAGGTAGAATTAGAGTAAATTAATTTGAGACCTTGGGCCTGGATAAATACGTCAATCGAAAGGGTTTGACCTCTTCAGTCCAAAACTGTAATTAGATTTCAAATTGGTTAAGAGATGATGGAGCTAATGTTTGTATTTGAAGAACTCAGAGACATTCTGTGAGTAGCTATGCTGCAGGTAAAAAAGTAATTTGGTATAAGTATATAGGCTTAAAAATGTTAATATCTTTGTTTAGGTGGAGCTACATTCTTCTGTTAGTGATCAGTTATACCTTCAGGAACAAGTGTTACGCAGGAGTTTGGAACTTTGTTCGGATCCCAGTCCAGATATTCCAAAGCCTTGCACTTTTAGAAGTAAGTCATGATATTGTTTTTCTGTGAAAATGAATTGCACCTTGGTAATGAAATAAGTAACCTTTGTTTGTTAGTTAACATATGACTGATTTCATTACCATTTATAAGAGCATAATCTTTTGAAATAAAGTTACAGTTTACATATTTTACATTTTATCTTGCAGCCAATATATTTGGAATAATCAAAAATAGTAACAATCGGAAATCATGATGGAAATATTTTGATTACTTGGATAGTTGGAATAATTGAAAAAATAATAATCAGAAACACTATTATTGATTAGTTGATTATTTTACATGATGATAATCAGTATTTGTCCAACTTACCAATAAAGCCTAGTCATTTTTTTGTATTACTTTCTAGCTTTGAGAATTTCAAAACATTTTTTCAAAAAACAATTGAAAACACGTTTGGTGTAGAATTTAATTACCGAGTTTGTCTTCCCACATTATTATAAAACTTTCTTAAGTTGTTAATCAGAAAGTTTATTTTATACAAGTAATAAGTTGTGAACACATTTCTTATACACACACAGTCACTAAAACTGGTAAGGCCTAACATAAATATGATCTCACAAAGTGGTTTTGTCAGTGAAAGGAAATTTGAAACAGTTGAGTGTAAAATAATTTAACTAAGCCTATGAAAAACATTTCATATTGTACTTCAACACCATAATTCAAATTAAGTGTAAAATGATAAAGCAAGCTTTAAAGAAAAACAGGACTGTAATTCCAGCAAAATATTAAAAACCAACCTTTTGTCATTCTTATGATTTCTATATAGATCTCTGCTTAACTGGAAGTCATATTGCCTTGTACAGTTGAAAAGAACAAAAAAATAATTTTTGTTACTTCTTTAGATCACTAACCTATGACCTGTCAAAGAAGCATAGGCAATTAAAACACATCATGACATCTGAGGTTGACAAATAGTGATTGGCTAAATTCAATACAATTACACTTCTATTAAAGTTACAAGGTTCAAGTTAGTGCTATTTTATTCAAGTATTTAGACTTTCCTCCAGTCCTCCAGTGTGACAGTGGTAAGTTTATGGACTTACAATGCTAAGATCCAAGGTTCAATTCCTCGCTGTGCTCACAGCAAATAGTCCAGTGTGGTTTCTTTGCTCTAAAGAACAAACAAACTTTCTTCCTAGGCCTGGCATGGCCATGTGATTAGTACACTCAACTCACAATCTGCATGTCGTGGATCAAAACCCATCACCAAACTTGCTTGCCCTTTCAACCATGAGGGCATTATTATGTGCTTGTCAATCTCAATATTAATTGGTAAAAGTAGCCCAAGAGTTGGTGGTAGGTGATGTTGACTAGCTGCTTTCCCTCTAGTCTATCAATTCAAAGTTAATGACACTTAGTGCAGCTAGCCATTGAGTAGGTTGGCTCAAAATTCAACAAACAAAATATTCTTGTAGTTGTCTATAAGTTTCATATTGTTCTCAGAAGGAAAAAAATTAGGAAATTCACAAACAGTAGTATTTTTATTGGGAGTGAACTGAAAGTAATCCAAAATTGAAGTTCACATTTTTTTAATGTATAAAATTTAATTAGAGTTTTTTTTAAAATAAATTTCAACTATGAAGTTGTTGTTTTTAATGTGTAGAAGATTGACTACAGGTTTGTTTTCTACAATATTTTTAATTCAATGATACAGTTTTGCCCTCAAGGAAGAATGCACTCAACTTAACCTGGAATTTCAATATAAATCATATTAACAGTTTTCTTTAATATTCTCCAAATCTAACCAAGTTTCAGTAATTCCCATTATATCATATGCTTACACTTCAACTTCAGCCTTGAACTTATCTGTTTTGTTCCTCTTATTCCTAGCATTAGAATAATAGCAATTACCTTTAAATATGACAGACTTACTTTTAAAAATTTTACTTACCTTTCTATGCTCTATTTTTTTTTACTTAAACTCAGTATTGCCCTCTCTCTCTCCTCTCAGTTTATTTATTCCCAATCTTCCAAACTCCTTCAAGACTATGCAAGTTTATTTTACCCTGAAAACCAGCCCACCTGTTGCTTTAAGCATTACCCTTTAATTTAAATCCTGAATCCTGCTAATAATTTGTTTTTGCATGTAGTATTTGGGAGCATTCCCAAAGTTCCAAATGTTTTTCTGTATTCTTATTAAGCAACTTACTAACATCACTCACACCTCTACATGCATTCTTGTTGTTGTCAGCAACTAAATTGTCAATATGTTTTATAATTTCTTTTACTTCAGCTCCTGGCAAGCAGAATCTAGTCCCAATATTCTATACAAATAACATTATCAGTATACTCAATGAGAGAGTAAGAGGTGTTAAAAAGGGGATTCACCTCTCTCATCATAATACCTTCATCTTCCATGTATTTGTTATGATGTTGGTGGATTCACTTGATGTTCTTTGAAGATTTCAATAGCAGTCAGTATGTGTCATATGGATGATGAGTGGATTGTGTGACAATCCTCATCGATGGCTAGCCAGTATTGTTATTTTATAGCTACACTTGAGGAATGGCACTAAAGTAACCTTGGGTGTAGGTGATAAATTTTATAGACTTTCTGTTTTAAAGTTTTGGCCTTCTGAAACTTTTTTTAGCATGCAGAAGTTATGTATAAGCTAGTGTTTCTTATAATAATGCTTCTTAAAAAAAACTTAATAGTTTCTCATATTTATCTGTCTTGATATATGCCTGTATCTCTACGTGCATATATTTATTATTTTATGGATTAATGTAATATTTTATGATACAACATTCTTTAAAGTTTTGATATTCCAAAGTGTATTAATATTTGTCTTCTACTGTTCCTATAGTCATATTATTAACTTGGAAATAATTTCTAATATGCATTGTGAAAAACTGAAATCCATAAAGTTAAGTGTAACATGAAAGAAAGATCTTTTACCACTGCAACTTTTATAGAACAATGATGCAAAATACAAAAATAATGTGTTAAATATATTTAGAGGTGACGATAAGAATGACATTCAGAAACAATAATTATGATGCTTACAAATTTCTAATACAGTAATCCCTTGATAGCTCGGAATTTGATATAACTCAGCATGGCTACAGTCCCATATGTTCAGAGTTATGAAGGGATTACTGTACTTGCACATCAGATGTCTTTATTTTTTTTTTATCAGATTCACAGTAAAATACTAAATTCATATATTGGGTAAGATATATTTTACTTGTAATACGTTACAACTATTCTTAATCATGGCTTAACTTGCACATATATCTTAATAAAAAGTAGTATTTACCTAATATATCCTGTTTTTATACATATTATAGCAAATATTTTAAAGAAAAGGCTTTAATAGTGTTATGATGCAGTTTTTCTATACTTTTTTTAGGATGAATATCATGCTTCAGTTATTTGTAATATACCACAACCATTGGAGTTCTTAATGATTTTAAAGAGATGTATATTTCTCTGGGAAGAATAAAACTGGTAATAAAAGTTTTGTTGATGAGAAGAGTAACGGGAATTTTCATCAGATTAGACATGAATACATGATCTGTCAAGTGTACAGCAATGAGAAGAGTAACGGGAATTTTCATCAGATTAGACATGAATACATGATCTGTCAAGTGTACAGCAAATCTATAGAAAATGTTTCAATTCATAGGAGTCTACATTGCTTTGTGATCAGAGAAGTAAATGTGAAATTATGTATTTAGTTACCAGAACAGTAAGTGTGGAATTCTGTGATCAGAAGAGTCATACATAAGTTTTAGTGGAAATGTAATTTTTTCTTGAAGTTAAGAAATGTTTTGTCTTCTGTGTTTGTGTTACTATTTTCTGAGCACACACACATAACTAAGCTAAACAAGTGTTGTCAATTCTTTTTTTTTTTTACTTACAGGTAATACACTGTTTAGTGGGATTAGTTCCAACCTCAGCATTTCTGACCTTTATACAAATTGGATCCAGATTAGTTGTAGTCTGGGGAATTCTGGAATCTGTTCCTGAACCAGATGTAAGTTATTTAATTCTTTAGAGCATATTTATATATACATTTTTCTGTATGTGTGTAATTTCATAAGTTTGAGGTCTGTTTCTGAACCACGTAAAAGATGTCTTCCATGCTTTACACGTGAGTAATGTTCAGGATTCATTCCCATAACCAGATCTAAGTTGTTTTATATAGGCTGTATATACATGTTTTATGTTAGCAATGAATTCTGGTGAGTTGTGGAGTCTCTTCCCAAACCAGCTTTTGTAGTTATAATAAGTTATAGTCATTCTTTGAATTACATTAATGTTGTTTTCTGTAGATGTAACGGAAGCTTTTATTTAGTGTTTAGTTATGCTCTGGATCTGTGTTCTAAACCAGTTTCAACTTGTTTGTAGTCTAGATGAAAAAAAACAACAACAAAATGTTAAAGTAGGCTTTGGAGTTGTTCTGAACTGGTTGGAGTTTATTGGATATTTATAGTTTCAATGTAAACAAAGCCTCTAGCTCTGTTAAGTTTTAGAGCTAGTTTGTGTATCAGGTACAAGTTGTTCTTTGTCTCAAGATGTGAACAGTTTCTGGTTATGGTAAGTTTTGGAGCTAGTTTGTGTATCAGGTACAAGTTGTTCTTTGTCTCAAGATGTGAACAGTTTCTGGTTATGGTTAGTTTTGGAACTAGTTTAAAGAACAACTTGTACCTGATACACCTTGAGACAACCAGAAACTGTTCACATGCTCCAAAACTAACCATTAGTTTAAAGAACAACTTGTACCTGATACACTTTGCCTCAAGATGTTAACAGTTTCTGGTTATGGTTAGTTTTGGAGCTAGTTTGTGTATCAGGTACAAGTTGTTCTTTGTCTCAAGATGTTAACAGTTTCTGGTTATGGTTAGTTTTGGAATTAGTTTGTGTATCAGGTACAAGTTGTTCTTTGTCTCTAGATGTTAACAGTTTCTGGTTATGGTTAGTTTTGGAACTAGTTTGTGTATCAGGCACAAGTTGTTCTTTGTCTCAAGATGTGAACAGTTTCTGGTTATGGTTAGTTTTGGAACTAGTTTGTATCAGGTACAAGTTGTTCTTTGTCTCAACATGTGAACAGTTTCTGGTTATGGTTAGTTTGGAACTAGTTTGTGTATCAGGTACAAGTTGTTCTTTTTCTCAAGATGTAAACAGTTTCTGGTTATGGTTAGTTTTGGAATTAGTTTGTGTATCAGGTACAAGTTGTTCTTTGTCTCAAGATGTAAACAGTTTCTGGTTATGGTTAGTTTTGGAATTAGTTTGTGTATCAGGTACAAGTTGTTCTTTGTCTCAAGATATGAACAGTTTCTGGTTATGGTTAATTTTGGAGCTAGTTTGTGTATCAGGTACAAGTTGTTCTTTGTCTCAAGATGTGAACAGTTTCTGGTTATGGTTAGTTTTGGAACTAGTTTGTGTATCAGGTACAAGTTGTTCTTTGTCTCAAGATGTTAACAGTTTCTGGTTATGGTTAGATTTGGAGCTAGTTTGTGTATCAAGTACAAGTTGTTTTCTTTGTCTCAAGATGTTAACAAGGTGTCTAGCTAGTTGTGGTGGTGATATAAAGAATTATATTGGTAATTTTGTATTCTTTGGTCTGGACATAAGCACTAAGTTTGTAGTTCATGTAAGAATGACTAGTTTTCTTAAACAATTGATGTTGATGTAAGTTAAGTTTTTAGTAACAGTCAATAAAATATATTTATTGTTTAGAGCAGTGGTTCCCAGACTTTTGGTAATCAAGGACCAGTAAAATTTCAAAAATAATTTTGGGAACTGACATTCCAAATAAAATATCTGTTAATTACATACCTAAAATAATAAAATATTTACAAAAATACAATTTATTTCGAAAACAAAAAAAGAAACTGTAGACTTAAGTAACTTTTAGTCATCAGACATTGAAAGAAACGTAAGTGTCAGTGTTTTCAACAGCCGAGACCCGTTGAGAACCAGTAGAAATTAAGTCAAGGACTGGCATTTGGGAAACACTGGTTTAGAGCATACACCTCCCCAACATCACTGTATATTCAAAAACCATTTTTCTAATATAGAAGATAATGACGAAAGTAAACATAAATACTAATTAAAAACACAAATCTCCTTATATACATGTGTGTATAACAGTTTTGTATTTCTGGGATTTGTTTCTAAACCGAGTATAATGGGTTTGTAATAAAAAATACCATGATACCTAAACTAAGTAAAAAAATGTTTTTCTCCAAAAGATATAGTCTTTAGGCTAAAGTTAAAATGTACTAAACTTTAACACGTAGTGAATTTTTATGTAGGTGTTTCTTACATAATTTCTATCAAAAAGTTATACTGTATTTTCCTGTAGATTTTTTTTCAGTTGTTCCTAGAAATGCATATACATTATTATTTGTGATAGTATTCTCCTTGCATCACTTACATGTTAACTGTGTCACCAAATCTGGAAAGGCTGGTTCATTTAGCTTTGAGTTTAAATTTATAACTGTTAAAAAGTACAATAATATGTGGATAAAACAACTGAAAAGTGTATTGAAACTAAGGTGATATACACTGAGTGGTCACAAGTGAATAGACACCTAATTTTTCGTCATTTAACTGATTTATGCTAACTAATTTGTGTTCACAGTGCAGTATATAAATGAAAATGGTCCACACACTAATTATATTGTGCTACAACATGCCTAGAACACAAGGTTCTCTCAAATTGTCAGATTTTGTTAGAGGAAGGATAGTTGGTCAAGCAGATGGTGGAATAAGTCAGCGGCAAATTTCGCAGAATTTGGGAATCCCACTTTCAACAGTCAACAGAATCATCATGCAGTTCAGGAAACACGGCAAGTATACAACTGAGCAGCGTCCGGGTTGTCCTGGTCCATCGGAGAGGACAAAAAGAGCTGTCAAGAGGAGCATTGAAATGGATCCCAGATTAACGACTGCAGAAGTGGCCAAAGTTGGTGGGATGAGCCCGAAATCTGTTCAACGGATTCTCCACAGATTGGGTTATCATTGCAGAGCAGCTAGATGGAAGCCCTT